TTTTCTTCGATTAAATTTATTTTTTTATATAATTTTATTTTTTCTCTCAAATCTTATTTGATCACATTGTATCCTTTAGTTTCTTATGATAACGTATCTGGCAGGGGACTTAGAAACAAGCAATATACTATAAACAATTTGAAGATTTTGTTGAAAAGTTAATATACTAGAGAATCATATGCGGGGAAATGGTTCGGCAGTAATGTCTAAACAAATAAAATACTTAACGTATGTGCACATATTATAACGGATGTAGAAATAAGTCTCAGTAAAGTAGGTTCAACACTACAATTTGTTAAGATCATTGCACTCAGAAAAATACTCTGAGTCGATAAAAGGACGCAATGGTTCTTTAGGTTGCTATGAAACATTCCCTGAATTTATTAATATATCCTCAGTGCTTCACATAATCTATATGCATTTTGTACCGAATTCAATGTATAAATCACCATGTTCAATTTATTCACCACTGCATGCAAGTCATTCCCCACTGCTTAGGATTTTTAAAAACAAATTGTATTGTCTCACAATTTTGGTATGAACATTAGAGCAGTTTTGAGTTTCTGTTGTAGCGCTGCGATTTTATAGTATATCTTTATTGCGCAGATATCATAATAAATAATTAATCGTGATGAATTTTATTAAAAATCTCGATAAAAACATGCAGTTGTTGTTATAAGTTTATGAAGGTGAATGTCTTGTCACAATGTTTTTACGATGAATATAGATTTGTATTGAAAAGTATTTCAAAAATGAAAGATCGGGCGGATACTACACCTTAATATGTAAAAAAAAGTTGATTTATAGATTGTATACATGTAAATATTTGAAACATAAAAAAGCAATTTCTTCATCTTCTTCATCAATCAGTAATGGTTTTAAAACATGATTTATGTGGTGAATACAACAATGATAAACTTCTAGTTTTTTTATATTTATCATGATAAACTAACATTATAAAGATGCACTATTATATATAAGGATATGATTGCAAAGAGTTTTTAGACTCTTAAATAAATTTCCTACATTTATATAGCAGTGTACGACTATATCTATATTATTTTCTTATAAGCAAATGATGTTATAAGCATTTTGTTGTTATGTTTATTGAAGCATGATGAATTAATAACTCTGAGTTTGCTGTAAATGTAGTTTTTTTTAAATAGTTTATTTATTTAAGAATGACATTTAACAGCTATGTAAATAAGGTCTGTGTGTTAATCTAGATATAGTTCTCGAAATGAAAACATATTTTTTTATGCATTCTACATGATTTCTGTCGCGTGAAGCCAATATCTTTTGCTTGATATGTGTACATGATAACCATGTTAATATATAGAACATACAGAATAAGATAAAATATTTATTAAAATCATTTGTTATCGACATTCGGCAACTCTAGATACATATGTATGTGTCTTAGGTACGCATGCACTGGTACACTTTTCAAAGATATTGTTGACGTAAGCAATGAGGTTAGGGATGTCTCCTCAAAACCAACATCTCGATTAGTTGTATTACATAGTGATGTCTGTTGTCAGGTTAACTTGGAAGAATATAACACAAATAAGATAAAAATATAACATAATGATCTGTACCGGTTGTGAGCTCTATAATTAAATTATCTCAATATTTTAATCTATTTACATATACTTTTAGTATCAAGCAACACCACACTTCTTTAAATTAAACATAAAAAATTGTTACTGCTATATTAATGACGTCATCGCATAAATTATATCTATTTATTTGTTTATAAATGAAATACTTTTGTGCAAGAACAGTTCAACGACCAAAGTTCAAACTAGTAATCTCGTACTTGAAGCAAACCTTTACCTTAAGAAACTAACTATGAACATACCCACTTCAGCGCTAATCTCCACATCTAGTATCTTCACACTTGTGTTGATCTTGATCTTTATTAATTTTGTTTATATAAATTAGCTATTTTTATCACTACACTGATAATATAAACTATATTTATACTTATACCAATAAAATATTTTATTAACATATATTCTAGACTGGTCTGGTATATAATTGTGCAAATTATACTTGTCTTCTTAAAATATATCGCGTAGAGCATTCTCGCACTCTATGGCAAAACCGAATCTGAAGACTTGATGACAGCATTTCTTGAGTCACGTGCTACTCTTAAGTTAATTACACAGAATAAATATAGATGATTAAAAACAATATTAAATCAGTTTTCTGGGTATTTAGGTATTTAGGCAGTTGCACAACTTTCTGAGAATTGATAAAGGTTTTTTTAGAGATAAAGCCATATCAGCCGTTTTATTTTTTTTTTTTGCATTTCTTTGGCAAATAAGGGGAATTACGCTATTCTTTGTTATTTATGTTAAACAGTTCAAAGGACATTTAAGATACGTAATATCTATTTTGTATGATTTTTATAATCTATGTAGGAATAATGCTAATAAATCTTTAAAATATTAAAATATTTTATTGGACATTAAAGAATTGCGTTTATATTTTCTTATCAATAGTTTATTACACTGAAAAAAATAGTTTGTAATGAAAACATAAACTGATGCAAAATCATTAATTTTTTAATATTGATGGATAATTCACCATAGTGTACAGAGCGTATGAGTAACTTTAATAAAATTTGGTCGTTTTTGTTACAAAAAATCAGTATATGTCATTTTAGAGACAGTTTTCCCAAAAAAAAGTGCATTATAGTCGGAAAAATCTAACGGGATATGTTGACAAAGAAACGCATGAAAGATTTTATTATAATTACAGCACAGTTGTGTATTCAGGATTGTGGTAAGGGAATGGAGGTAGTGAACTGCAGTGTTTTCGTGATGCACTAAATGTTTGTCTTATGGTACATATTATATTATCAAGATGAGGTCAGATATCCCCCTAATCTTAACCTGAATACACCACTGTTATTGCGTAGTGATTTTGATTGAGAATATATTTAAATAGAGACATCGAAATCAAGATTTTGTATCACAACAAACACGCTCAAAAATTTACTCATTAAATTTGTTAACCTTAAAATCTCACATTGGCTCAACCCAATTGATTAACATTTCAGTTCCTGTTATTGGTGTTACCTTCTTTATACACAAAGAAAAATTATCTTATAAATCTCAATATACATCTTTTTTATACACATAAAAAATTATTTAACACCTTTTAAAATACACGGTAGAATACTTCGAACTATAAGTTCTATTGTGCTTTCATGCGGTAATTTTTTCTTTTATAACTTTGACACAGAGATATTGCTTAATTCTATCATATATGATCTTCTCACTGCAAGCTGAAAACGTCTTACGCTGGATGGTCTAAAATTTTTATTCACATTGTATTTTTGCTCTGATTGGTGTTGCAATAAGAAACTTCAGTGAAATATGTGAATAATAATAGGCCCCACTAAAGGCATTTCTGCAATAATCTTGCAGTAACACAAATTTTCTACAATGATGCGAGCGAGCATCAAAAGAAAAAAATACAAACTTTTGAGTGAAAATGTAAAGGAAGAATTTATGGGTAAGAGCGTATTTAACAAACGCATGTCCTAACAGGTCAACCTAATTATTCTCAAATAATTGCCCCTTGTGATATCATGGTAAACGTTATTCATATGCAAGCCCCAAAGATTTTGGATCTACAGTTTTCTCCTCTTTCACTGAATCACAAACGAGTTAAAAGTCGTTATACGGTGTACCCAATCTCATAGCGTGAGACTACATAGTACGCAATGACCTGTCAGCATCAATAAAACTGAGCAGGCTAGGGTTTAGTAGAAGTAGGTGACTACTATTGTTCAGTTTTGAACAAAAACACCAGAGGTTCATACAATATTAGTATCTTTTATCGTTATAGGTACCAATAAGTGTTTTGAATTGTTTTAATCCTGGTATATTATCTCAGTAATCCTTTTTATTTTGGTTCTCCTTTATTTTATGAGAGAAAGGAGCGTGCTAATTCCTAGTCCATAAAAACGTTTTGGCGCCATCCTCACTGTGGCTGCTACTTTCCTGGCTAGTTTGTTCGCGTATTCGTTTCTGCTTACGGCAGTATGTTCCGGTATTCAAAGAATCGATTGATTAGATTCATCAAGCAGATTTAACTTATCAAGGCAGTCTAGCACCAGTCTTGAGATCACCTGATGCGAGTTTAGTGCCTTGATCTCCGCTTGGCTGTCTGTCAGTATTGCGATATATTTACCCTGGTAATTCAGTTACATATTGATGAGTACGTACTTTAAGATTGTGTAAATTTCCGCTTGGAAGATGCTAGTATTTATCCCCAGCGCTTTTCAGTGCTTCTTGACTGGTCCGACTATGTCCGCTCCGGCATCTCCCTCCGTCAGTGAAGTTTTTTTTTAATTTTTACTAAATTTACTTAATCACTAAATTTTTTTATTACTTAATTTTCAATTGTTTATTAAGTTTTATCAAAAAAATTTTAATTTTTCCTATAAGGTGAAAAACATTTGAGGTGATAGCGATAAAATCAAAAATCCCTGGAACAAAAATAGATCAAATAAAATAATAAACTGTATCATAACATATTTTTCTAAGTGTAATTGCTGGGCAGGCATAGGCAGGCAGGCAGAGGCAATATTTGTGTGTATTTTCATTTGTGTGTGTTGATTAGCATTTTTGTTGTTTCAATTTTTATGTCAGCTCCCCCAAAACATGACTGTGCAGATTCTTTGTGCTTCATATTAGACTGTTTGGATTTTTTTTTTGGCTCTTCGTGGTTTCGAGCAGGTATCCGCGAAGGGAACATTTTAGTTGAATTCATACGTCGTCGTGGTGTTATCGTGGACGACTATGTTGTGAGCGCTCACTAACTCGCAACAGACACTTATTTTTATACAAATATCTCATATTGAATTCATATTGAATTTTATTAAAACCTAAAATGCTTAAGTAAATAAAAGAAAAATAAAATTAACAAACGTATACATATATATATTTATATATATTAATATATATTAATATAAATAAAAGAAACTTAAATATATAGAGATATTACTTCATTGAGAAAACCGACGAAACCGACTACAAATATTTATGATTTCACTGCAAGAATCCGCGTAGTATTTGCCAGTATCTGCTCGATCGTTGTGCTGTGGTTGCGGGGAGCCGAAATGTCGCGTTATGTTTGCTGCCTCTATTGTTATTGTTGCTAACTTAATTTGTGTGTATTAACGTAAATGTTAGACTTTACTCCAAAGTTTATCAGTTTATTTCGTTCCAAATAAAAACACAACAACAAATAATATATATGGCACATATTTACGTACATATATGTAGGTACATATAAAAACACAAAGAAATAGAAAACCGGCCTGATCAATATGTACTTGTGATCATCGCACATTATTACGATTACGATTAGAATTTTAGCTGCGCTAAAGTTGAAGTGTTTGAACGATAGCCGTGTAAATATCTTGTGTAAATACTCAAAACTAATTAAGTGCACGTAATAATTACATTTTAAGCTCAAGTATTAAAAAGGAAACAAAACAAAACAAAACAAAACAACAAATACATACATATATAAACAAAATAGTGCCAAAACAATGCCACAAAGTGTTGAGAATAATATACTGTCAAGAAGAAGCATTAATGCCGCACAAATGTATTCACCACAACAAGACTACCGACAGCCACAACTTCACCATGCCTCCTACACATCACATCACCGCAACCAGCATTTACAAAACTTACGTCAAAATGCATTGCAGATGTTAAACGTGGAAGGTGCGTTCATTTGATCACGTTTCCAAATAAAATCTCTGTGCTCTTTTTGTTATTAATACATACATTCAAATATATTTTAATTTTTTTATGCTTAAATTTTTAACAGTAATGAATGATCTGCAGAAATGATTTTTGTTATTTTTGCTTAAATATACACATTTACTTTTTTAGTGCTTAATAATTGTGTTGTGTTGTGTTCGCTGTCGCTTATATGCTTTTTGTTGTGTTGACTTAATTTTATATTTCTTTTAAATGTGTTTAGTTGTGTTAATTTTTGTCTTTAGCTTTAACATTTTCTTTTTGTTTTTGTTTTCTTTTTACGTTAGCGTAACGTGACTATGCATTTTTGATAAGCTGCGGTAATGTGTGGAACACACACAGTCACACAAACAATTATTTACGCGTTTTGTTGTTGCTTGCTTACTTGTTTGCTCTGTGGTCGCTTCGTGTTCGTTCGTGTAAGGTTGTTTATAGAATAATTAGCTTTGCTTAGCGCTAAATAAGCGATAAGCCAAATCTAATGCTGCTTTGCTGATCTGCTACGTTGGTTTATGATTTTTGTTGATATTAAGTAACATTTGCATATTAATTTATTCGTAGTAGTGTAAATATTTATTCCTAATTATTGTACGAATATATTTTTGTAAATATTACAATTTTAAACGGAGCACTAAAATACAAAAACAGTGTGAACGGTAACTTTTCGCGCCGGTCAATTAAATTTGCTTAAAGATTTTTTTTTTTCATGAGAATTTCTCTGTTAAATGTGAAAATAAAAAATCACTATTAAAAATTACTATTATTATTATTGTTTATATTATTGTTTATAAAAAATAACACATCTAAAATAATACAGTAAAAATGTTAACAACAACAGAGAACTTGATACTTGATACATATTAAGTTTATATATCAGTTTCTTTATCATAATGTCGATTTTTTCTCTTTTCTTAGTAGACCTTTGTGGACCACTTCTTTTAAAACCAAAACAATCTTTTTTCCGTTTTATAATAGGTCTGTTCCATGAGCTACTCTTAGTAAAACTCCAGTAAAATACAAGTAAAATTTATACGAAAATTTGCTAGTGGAACGCACTTGTGTATACACAGTGTTTCTCATAGTTACTATGAGTAGCTCGTGGTATAGACCTAATATGACAACTCTTTAAGTACCCACATCCATTTGTTAAGTTTGCCAACTACATACCCAACCTATCTTTTTTTCGGAGAAGTCGAATTTTGTCTTAAATAAGTGAATTAGAAATAATGGAAGCAACTTACTATACCAACTCCGTATTTTCTTTTAGTTTGTTAGTAGATGTATAGGTAGAAACTTACTCTGAATGGAGAAATATTTTAAATTTTTATAATTAATAAATAAATATTCCTTACTAAGCAATCATAGTGATGCAAAACTGAATATACACATCTCTAAGCATAGTCCTTCGATTCGGAAGACATTAGTTCCTCAAGCTTTCTTTCAGCCTTATCACTTGTCTACATTTCTGCATGGAAACAAAATGCTTTTATATATAGCATAATTATACATATACATATAAATTATATTATTTTATATATAATTATACATATACATATAAATATAGTTATTTATAACTATATTATATAGTTATACATATAAATATTATACATATTCAGGGAGACATATTTGGTTTAAGGAAACATCAGTCATTCAATCCAACCAGCCATTGACTCCCTACTTCCAAACACCTAAACACCTGTTTAAAAAGAAGCTTTTAAGGTTTTATTTTACTGAAAGTAGCTTTATGATTTTATTTTACTGAAAGACTACAATTGTGTTTACGGTTTGAGTGAGTTCATTTTGTCTTAGACTCGAAGTTGAAGAAGGTAGATTGGACTCATAAACGTAAATATTAATGATATGATGTACAATTAATAATAAATTTTTACCGGAGGAGGCGGTGAAAATATTTTTTTTGCATTACACACAGACAATCCAAGCACACAACATACTATATATATATATAACATAATCTACAGATTATATATAAATATAGTAAAGAGTCCTCAAGTTTGTAGTGATTGTCGTGTATATTACCGGATTATGGATTATATAATTTTGTTTTAAATTTTTTAAGTGGTTACGTCGTCGCTTTGATTTTGACTTTTATTTTAGGAAAAATCCTAATATTATGGACTATGGGTTGTAGTTTCAAATAAAAGAATTATATTCTTATTATTCACAAAAATATGAACAGTTGTCGAAATTAAATATTAACAAATAAAATTAAACATTAAAATCGCCCTTTAATGTAATAAATAATAAACCTTGAACTCCTTGAACTTTTTTAAAACCTTTACGAGTATTTGTCATTCGGTATTATTCCAAGCACGAAAACTCATGAACAACGAAGTAGCATTTTAAATTAATGTTTAGACTTTTGTTTAAACAATTGGTTCTAACCAAAAAAGAAACTTATTTATTTACAATGAATGCTTAATAGATTTATTATGGCAATAAAGCAAACAACTAAGTTTGTGTAATTAGTTAAGTTAATTGAAAAAATGCAACTCATTGCCTTTACATTTTTATTTGTTCCATAAAATCCACTTAAGCTTTTCAAATCAGGTCATTGTCCAATTTTTATGAATGCAATAAACAGTAGCGGACTTAAAATTTACAAGTTATATTCCTATAAAAATGTCGGGCCCTCCCTCTTCAACAAGAAAATATAAAATATTAATTAAAGCAATATTCTTTATATAAATTTTTGCTAATACTATTTTATTATGATTAAAACTGGTACTTAAACAAATGTTTATGATCTACCTAAAATATTTTAATGACCATCTGTTATAATCTTAATTTAAATGATCGGAGAGAAGGGAATCCATGTTCTATTTTCCAAAGTATTTAATTAATGAATTTTATAAATATCACAAACTTGAGATTAAAAATTACTCTTTGGATTAATTTGGAGTGGAATAACTTAAAAAAAATCTACAAAACTTATCTTTAATAATCCAAAATAAAAATTTTTTTTAGATTAAAAGAGTAAAAAAAATTACATATTTAATCTAAAGCAAAAGTTTATTCTTCTAGATTAAAATACGGTTATAGTATGGTATATTTCTATTTAATATACATATATAATAAAAAATTCTTATTTTTTGTTTAATTTTATTGATGACAGTACGAGTAATATAGATTAATTAGATTAAAGAATTAAAGAGTTTAAAATTGTAGTATCTGTTATAAAATTAAATATTTATTTAATCTTCTACTCATTTAAGTTGTTAACTATATTTACCATGATTTTTAATTTTTTACACTATTATTTAATTTTAACTACGAAGAGTATAGAATTGAAGTCGTAAGTTCAGTAAAAACAAAAAAGAAGTGAAGAATGAAAAAAATATACTCCATAGTAAAGTTTATTTACAATCTATCTAATAAAGATAATAATTAAATTTGTTTAAAATTAGTATATTTAACAAATGCATTTAAGTTCCATTGAACTTAAAATATGTATTGCGAAGTGGATAATTAAAACTTTCGAAAATTTAAATAGTTCTTTTATAAATAGAAATTCTAATACAAGGATTTTCTTTGATCTACCAAATTCATCCGCTCTTTTGAGCAAATTTCTTGCAAATGATTTGACGTGATTACTTAGTGTTTGAAAGTATTTATATGTCTTCCAACTTCTATGATAGTAAAGTGTCTTCTACCTTTCGATTAATTTAATTAATTTTAAATCATTTAATAATTTAATTCAATTTATTTATTTACTAACACAACCACAGATTAGATTACTTTAAAAATGTATGATTGTGAACAAAATTTCACAGATCTGGAGTAAATCTAGATTGAATCTAGATTTACCAATCGAAAACGCCATTAATGTGTGTCCATTAATTCACAATAGTTTAAAGGCTATAAAAACTGTTTTAAATTATCTGTTCACAATAAATTATCACAATGGAAAATTTTAATATTGATAACGTTTTTTATTGTATTTTGTGTTATTCACTCACATGGTATATAATTATAAAATGAAGTGGTTTCCTTTCAAAGAAAAAAATTCGTTTTGGAAAATTTACAATGTAAAAGAAGTAAAGGTTACATTTACAAATAAAAAAAAAAATTTTAAAAATCAGATGATAACATCTGATATTCTGATTCATACAATATCGATTTGTATGAGTATTTCGCAATTCAAAGTATAACAGAATAATAATGACCATTTCATTAGGAAGATGTTACTATAAATGACTCAGTATTATTTAAAAATTGTGAAACTAATTTATTAGAGCAGAGTTTTGTTGCTGGGTTGGCAACACCTATCTCTCGTAACTGAGTAATACCCATGAAAAAAAAAAAAAATTATACATGCAAAAGTCACGTAACCCAAATGCTAAGTATGGATAGGTAGTGTATGAGTATTAAGATTTTCAATACGATTGCAATTTTTTAGCTTAAGATCTCTTTCAGTATATGACGCGCTGAACTTCAGTCTTTTTCTTCTGTTGCTAGAGTGCTAAGCTGAAATTTTCCTCAATTCATTTGGGAAACCAATTTTGATCAGTCATCGTGAGAAGTTTTTGTCGGTCACGATATTTTTACATGTTAATGAAGTTAACACAAATTAGTCTGCTTTGTTTTGTGTTAATTAAGATTTTTTTTATGGATTACGAAATATTTAAAAGAAAAATTTGACCGGATTTATTTAAAAATTTGCTATCTCTGCTCTATGGAACCCAGGCACAGCTGAGTCCTGTATTTTTTAAATAATGTTTTGCTATTATATGAGTGTTAGTTACTATAGAAACTCTAGATCATATGAAACCTTTGTTTGACTGGTTGATTACAGTGGTCTATTGGCAGATACCCAAGCCGAATATAACTTATAATTTTCAACTATTTACCACACTCCCCGTAACAAACCTCTGTGGATAACGTAAATATGAAGCGCTTGTTTTCAGCTTTTTTTTTGGTTGTTATACTCATCTTTTTTATAT